CTATGAATACTGTACTACAGCTAAACAGCTTGGGGAAATGTAAGTATTTGGCTTCAATAATTTACATGTTAGAAATGTATGTGTAATAACATAACCTCTCATAATTCCTCATTCATTATTTTCTGATGACTAAAACATAACCTACAACAGTAGAGGTGACTATTCAATTCATCATCTAATGCACATCAATGGATTAACTTAAAAAAATGTATATAATAAGTGTAAATAATTTAATTGTCTTCATAGCTATATTGTAGAAGTTGTTAAGAAGACTGCAACTATTTTCATGAAACTATAACACTAATAGCCTTTTACAGGCACACTTTGTTCAATAGCCTATTGAAATGTCTTGGCCTATGTGACACTAGAAATTTCAGTTAGTTTTAATTTACAGTACAGTGCAAATGAAGGCATAAATCAATTTAATTTATCTTTTAATCAAATGAGAGTTAAACTATTTTTTTGGCAAACAAAGGGTTTACTATTAAAATTAAAACATGGAATAAATAGCATATTGTGTGATTATTCTTTTAAACAAACGTTGTAATAATTGTTGTAGTAGTATTATGTATATCATACTGCACCACAGTAATATATTTCTGATCATTTCTTTAAGCTAAGCCGAACTTATATTTTGACGGTTTGTAATGAGGAACCTTTAAGTTTCTGTAGCCTATGTAAGTGTTTCCCATACATTGATATAAAACTGGATGCGCCGGCGGCACTATCTCACTTACAGTTAGTGAGGGAAATCCCCCTGCGATCCGAGCGGAGAGGTTAGGCTACTCACGGACTCAATATGCGCTCTGCAATGATAACGTGATCGATGCCTACAGTCCACGCTGATAGCTGTTCCGGGGCAGTTTTTTAATTCTCATCTCCATAAACATAAGACCGCGGTGCATCTCTGATTTGTTGTTGGTCTATTTCTTCTTCGCTGTGAATTACAATTTCCGTTCATCTGACAATCCGCAATCTGGGAAGCGCCACCACAAGAAGTCTGTAGGTACTGCCGCTCCGGTAAGCCAAAGTGGTAAACAGCCACAATGTAGGTATGAATTTAGATCTTTTGTATGTTTAAAAAAATATCGATACTCTGGCACCAAGTATCGATATTTTTTTAAACATACAAAAGATCTAAATTCATACCTAAACGTCTCGCAGCCGGAAATATCGCAATAAATCGGCACATCGATTTATTGTCCCACATCTATTCTTTTTCATTCCTCCAGACCACCAGAGAAAAATTATTCTATATTGAGAAAATCACCTTTAAAGTTGTCCAAATGAAGTCCTTAGCAACACATATTACTAATGACAATAAATTTTTCAATATATGTACGGTAGGAATTTTACAAAATATCTTCATGGAACATGATCTTTACTTAATATCCTAATGATATTTTTGTATAAAAGAAAAATAGATAATTTTGACACATACAATGTATTGTTGGTTATTGCTACAAATATACCCGACTTATGACTGGTTTTGTGGTCCAGGGTCACAAATGCTGCAAATTTGTTAATTGATGGTGCATTAGCTATTGGTACTGAATTGAACCTTATTATAGAGTATTACTGATAATAAGACAAGGTCGAGAAAGAAATACCAACAGAGTCACATCATGACGTAGATGAGATGGGAGGATAGATAGCCACAAATAGATTTTCCAAAAGGCTTTGACTTCGTTGAATAAACATGAGCACTGCACGTTTCAAAATTGAAACCCGGTGCGGGTGTTTTTATATCACTGTATTTCTGAAGGAACCCGACTGTCTTCAGAAAATTTTGGATGTCATTTTCATTTCATCTTGCATGTAATATCTGATAAAGCAGCGTTTGTGAGTGGAGCGCTGCTTTGTGTACAGCGTTACCGGGGAAACCTTGATCTCTACCACTCCAAAAGCGCCTCCTGCGGGCAAAGAATGAATTTGCATGTATATGCCTCCACAAATAGAGTGTCTGTGGGAAACACTGCGATTGTTTTACTCAAATTAAACTGTCAAATGATCATGAAGTGACTCTCAGAGGAAGTCAGAGCAGTTCTGGAGATGTTGTTCATGTATTTATGTCCTCATGTAGTGATACGACAGAA